TCTATAAATATTTTAAACAACCATGGTGACATAACACATCCCCGTCTAAGACCTACTTTTACCGGAAGTAGTTCCCCCTCTCTCCTACACACCCTAACCTGAGCCTCACTACCTCATAAAAACTCTTTACAGCATTTAATAACTTACCACCTATTCCATATATGTACTTGCAACATCTGCCACATTGCCCCTCAAATCCACTATCATATGCCTTTTCTAAATCCATAAATGCAATAAAAACTTCCCTACCTTTATCTAAATACTGTTCACATATATGTTTCAATGTAAACACTTGATCTACACACCCCCTACCCACTCTGAAACCTCCTGCTCATCCGAAATCCTACGTTCTGTCTTACCTCAAATTTCTTTCAATTATAACCCTACCGTACACTTTTCCTGGTATACTCATAAACTTATTCCTCTATAATTTTTACAGTCTCTTTTGTCCCCTTTCCCTTTATATAAAGGGACTATACATGCTCTCTGCCAACCCCTAGGTACCTTCCCCTCTTTCATACATTTATTAAACAAAAGTACCAACCACTCCAACACTATATCCCCCCCTGCTTTTAACATTTCTGTCATGATTCCCCATCAGTTCCAGCTGCTTTACCCCCTTTCATTTTACGTAATGCCTCACGTACCTCCCCCACACTTACATTCTGCTATTCTTCACTCCTAAAAGATGGTATACCTCCCTGACCAGTGCTGAAATTACTGCCTCTGTTTTTTCCTTAACATTTAAAAGTTCCCCAAAATATTCTCGCCACTACCTAATACCTCCATCTCCCCATCTACTAACTCCCCTACTCTTTTTTTAACTGACAAATCCTACTCTCCCTAAGCTTTCTTAACTTGTTTAGCTCACTCCAAAATTTTTCCTTATTTTCATTAAAATTTTTTTGACAGAACCTCTCCCACTCTATCATCTGCTCTCCTTTTGCACTCTCTCACCACTCTCTTTACCTTTCTTTTACTCTCCATATACCTGCTCTTAAATAACAAAAAGGCACAAATACCGTGACTGGAACGATACACAAATAACCCGCACATAAAAGAGAGAAGGTTACGACGACGTTTCCGGTCCGACTTTGGACCATTGACAAAGTCACACTGTGACTTTGTCAATGGTCCAAGTTGGACCGAAACGTTTTTTAAAACAGTTTGTGACAGAGCCAACTTGGGGAAATAACCTCCTTGACTTGGTTCTTGCCAGTAGGGAAACACTAATTAATAATCTTGAGGTTAATGATGAGCTTGGGGAAAGTGATCACAAAATCACTCATTTTAATATTCATGGAATTCCCCTAATAATGGCAATCAAGTCTCCGTCCCTGACTTTCGCTTGGCTGATTTCATAGGACTGAAAATTACTTAGGTGGGCTGAACTGGAATGACCTGACTAAGGGTCAGGTAGGTGGGGATGGTTGCCGATATATGCTTTCCAGGGCATAGTTCTAGCTGCTCAGTCCCAAAATTTTGTTTTCCAAATAGGGAAATCAGATCAAACAAAAATGATCCTAAATGGATGAACAATAGATTAAAATATCTGATTGGTCAAAAGAGAGGCATATATAGGCAAATCAAAAGAGGAGAGGGGCAATTGAGAAATTGATATATTCAGTTAAAGAGAGAAAAAAAATAGGGAATTAGAAAAGCAAAAAGAGATTATGAGGTTAAAGTTTTCAAGAGAATCGAAGACTAACCCAAAAGGATTCTTTTCAGGTATACAGAAGTAAGATCAGGGACAAGATAGGCCCCCTCAAAAGTTCCTCGGGTCAGCTCACTGACAGTGATAAGGAAATGTGTAGAATTTTTAAACACATACTTCCTCTCAGTTTTTTACACAGGAGGATACCAGCGATATTCCAGTAATGATAAATTATGTAGAACAGGACATAATAAACTGTGCACTATTAGGGGCACAAGTGACATGGTCCTTAGGGAAATAGATAAATTAAAACCTAACAAATCCCCAGGCCCTGATGAACTGTATGCAAGGGTTCTAAAGGAAGTAAAGAGGAGCTTAGCACACCTTTGGCTAATCTTTTCAACATATCACTAAAACTGGCATGGTGCCAGATAAGTGGAAAATGGCAAATGTGATACCTATTTTCCCAAAAAAGGTGACAGGTCCTTAGCTTCGAACTATAGACCAATAAGCCTAACCTCCATAGTGGAAAATTTAAAGGAATCAATAATTGCCGAGGCAGTTCGTAGCCACCTTGAAAAGCAAAATTAATCAACGAATCTCAGCATGGTTTTACAAAGGGGCGTTCCTGCCTTACGAATTTATTAACTTTTTTCACTAAGGGATTTGAGGGGGTAGATCATGGTAATGAATATGATATTGTGTATATGGACTTCCCGAAGGGTTTTGACAGGGTCCCACATCAGAGACTATTGAGGAAAATTAAACACATGGAATAGGAGGAGAAATTTTTTCCTGGATAGAGGCATGGTTGACAAATAGGCAGCAGAGAGTTTGCATAAATGGGGAGAAATAAAGTGGGGAAGTGCCCTGAGCGGTGTTCCACGGGGGTCAGTGTTGGGCCCCCTGCTTTTTCACTATCTACATAAACACATAGATGAGGGCATAAGAGCGACATCGGCAAGTTTGCCATGACACCAAAAATTGGGGCCGTCGAATTCATTCTGACGAGGACATTCGAGCACTCCAGGAAGATTTGAATAGACTGATGCAGTGGTCGGAAAGAAGTGGCAGATGCAGTTTAATATAGACAAATGCAAAGTTCTAAATGTTGGACAGGACAATAACCATGCCACAATAAACTAAATAATGTAGATCTTAATATACGGATTGGGGAAAAAGATTTAGGAGTTCTGGTTAGCATAATCTGAAACCAAGACAACAGTGCATAAGTGTTCGCAATAAAGCTAATAGAATCCTTGGGCTTCATATCAAGAAGCATAAATAATAGGAGTCCTCAGGTTGTTCTTAAACTCTATACATCCTTGGTTAGGCCTCATTTAGATTATGCTGCACAGTTTTGGTCCCCTTTATTACAGAATGGATATAAATTCTCGGGAAAATGTACAAAGGAGGATGACAAATTTTGATCCAGTATCAGAAACCTTCCCCTATGAGGATAGACTAAGGGCCCTGAATCTGCACTCTCTAGAAAGACGTAGAATTAGGGGGGATATGATTGAGGTGTATAAATGGAAGACAGGAATAAATAAAGGGGATGTAAATAGTGTGCTGAAAATATCTAGCCTAGACAGGACTCGCAGCAATGGTTTTAAGTTGGAAAAATTCAGATTCAGGAAGGATAAGGAAAGTACTGGTTTGGTAATAGAGTTGTGGATGAGTGGAACAAACTCCCAAGTACAGTTATAGAGGCCAGAACGTTGTGTAGCTTTAAAAATAGGTTGGATAAATACATGAGTTGGGTGTGGTGGGTTTTGAGTTAGACCTGATAGCTTGTGCTACCAGGTCGGTTGCCGTGTTCCTCCCTTAAGTCAATGTGACCTGACCTGACTAGGTTTGGGGGCATTGGCTTAAGCCGTAGGAGACTTGGACCTGCCTCGAATGGGCCAGTAGGCCTTCTGCAGTGTTCCATCGTTCTTATGTTCTTATGTGCAGGTTATTTGTGTATTGTGTACTCTGCTCTTCTTATAACACTTCTGCTTTGTAAAAACCTCTCATAAGCTACCTTTTTCTCTTTTATCACACCCTTTATTTATATATATATATATATATATATATATATATATATATATATATATATATATATATATATTTTATAAGCTTGAAAGTGAGGTTACAGTTTGTTACATTAAAGTCTTGTATACTACATAAGGATTGAAGGCCACTATCTACTGAAAGACTAAACATCAATAATACTTTGTTCCCTAAGATCAGATATGAAGTTAATATATAGCTTTACAATGTTTATACCCAAGTGGTTGTTAGGATACCAGATGCATAATATATCTATGATCAACAACTGGTATGTATCAAACTGAAAATTTGGGACAAAAATAAAGTAAATAAGTAGGTTTCCTTGTCATTTTATTGTGTGTATAAAAATGGGCTTGTAAAAAGATTGCAAGAAATATAGTATACATTGGACCCCTGCGAATTCATGGTTCCGAATTCACGGCTTCAGTAATTCGCGGATTTTTCCTTAGAACCTAACTAATGACTGTTCGCAGAAATCCCTGCAAATCCTCAGAATGTTGGGGGGGGGGCCTTTCTCGTGGCAATATATAATTTGTTTATGCATTTTAACGCTAAATTAATTTATTACCATACGGCCGACTTGTTGAAAAAAAAAAAAATTTACCATACATATACCAAAGAAAATGGGGTTACATGAATTACACTATATATGGGGGTAACATTGGTATTTTACATTCTAGCACTGCAGGAGACATAGCAGTACAGTACTGTATATGGGTTTATCTTTACATTTTTTTTCTTTTTAAAGGGTGACGTATGAAGCCGAGTCTGAAATTAAAGTGTTTTGGGGGCATATTTGAGGTTTAAACTATAAAAATAGGCTTTTATAAGTATTTTTTTAACTACGTCCAGAACTCGCAAGTGGTCTTGGAACGTAACCCCCACGAATTTGGGGGGACTACTGTAATATAAAAAAAACATTTATGGAAGAATAATGAGAAAATTGATCCTGTGTGGCAAACCATGAAGCGGTATTCATAATTGTGGCCAACAAAAGATTGAGGCACCCAAGGCCTGAGAAAGATGGTATAAACTAAGTAAATTTAGTTGCAAGGCTGTCTTACATCTGAATAACTCAATATTATAAGTTTAAAGAGAGTAAGCAACTAATACCTAAAAGATCTGTTTTTTTTCATAATTTATTGAAAAATATATGCTTAGTAAATTACATAAATCTATTAAAAATGTGTTCCAGGAAAAAAATGAAATTGACATATAATATTAATTTATAACTTAAATATGAATCATGGTTCTGGTTTAGAACAAGCTATGTGATTTGTAACAGTACAGTCTTTATTTATTAAGGTCATCCTCCGTTCTCATTCTCATGCTTTATTTCAGAAACCTCACCTGATCTCAGGGTGTCCTGGGAGCCTTGAGGTAGATGAGACCCTCCAGGGGGAATACGTCGTCCAGGGGGGGGATGGAGGGAGAGCTCCTCGTACATAGGGCGTCTTGGGTCCCAGGTGGCATGTGCCCCGCGACCCGACCCCCCACCTAGAGAGACAACCAACAGCCGCCCACTCAACAAACAAGAAGCGCAACACAAACTACATCAAGCGGTATTTGAGTTTGCCATACTACAGAATCTTTAGGTTTAGGATGTTTCATTCTTGTATATTTTTTATAGGCGTAGAAATTAATAAAAATATCATGCAATTCTACAAAAGTAGAATTATTTATAATATAAAAACATCAAGATGTGGTAAGTTTGCTTGATAAATAAACAGTAAAGCTTGATGGCCGTGACATTTGTGGCTAAGCCATTACAAATAAAGAGCTGGTCCTAGCTTGGGTAGGGCAGGGAGAAAAGCAAAATGGAAGTATAAAGACAGCAAAATGAATAACTTTTGTTAATACTGTACTAAAAGAAGAAATTTCAATAATTAAAGATGCATGAACTAGATAAAGCAGTATGAATAAATTTCATGAACAATTACAAAATTGTTACACATGCTGTCTTTACAATTTAACTATTGTATACAAAAAAAAAGGCTTAAAATTAAAATATCCATAATTATACACAGGGGTTATATTTTAACCCCTTAAACTGTTAGTGGTCAGTTTTTTCTTAAAAAAAAAAAAAATATATATATATATATATATATATATATATATATATATATATATATATATATAATATATATATATATATATATAATATAATATATATTTATATACAAAAAAAAAAAAAAAAAAAAAAAATTGTGTGTATATTAAACCATCACAAAAATCTAAAAAACACAAAAAAAAATATTTAAAAATTACTTATCTACAAAGTTTTGATCAGTCCCTAGAGCCAAGTCATACTGGCACCAGAAATATGAAAAACTCCAAATTCTTTATAATGTCTATCACATTAAAGTTATATTCTGTATTTTTCAATGTTTTTGACTACAATATAAACAAGTGTTGATTGTTTCCAATGTGTTTGAGGGTATGGTACACCCTGAAGAATATTGTGAGGCTACACTCAGCAATCTTCACACCAAAATCATGTATCTTTGTGCTAACTGGGCTTTCTTATTGCTACCTGAAGCAGCACCTGCAGATATTCTGTTTCAGTTAAGAATGAAGATAATGTATGCATTGAGCAATGATTCTGGTTGTTACATTTGCAATTTACATCAGCAGTAAGGCAACAGTGGTACTGGTATAGTTACATTTGTCAGCATATTTTGGGGCATTACAACATCCATTACAAGAGTGTAAAGCCTAAATTTGTACTGCTTAACATGAGAACATGAAGTTATTACAAGTGACATGAGTAAATTTGCTGATGATACAAAAATAGGCTGAATGACTGACTCTGAGGAGGATACCAATGAACTCCAGGAGGATTTGGACAAATTAATGTCTTGGTCTGAAAAGTGGCAGATGCAGTTCAGTGTGGATAAGCGTAAAGTCCTAGTCCTTGGGAATAAAAAATAACCCTCAAAGTTTTAAACTAGGTGATGAAGAGTTTGATCACACAAATGTGACAAAGATTTGAGAGTCAAGGTAAGCAGAAATATAAAGCCAAGACAACAGAGCTTAAGTGTGTGCAATAAGGCTAAAAAATCACTAAGATTTATTCTAAGAAGTATAAGTAACAGGAGTCCAAAGGTTATATTACAGCTCTATACAGTAGTCCCTCCTGTATTTTTCAAGGAATAAAGTCCAAGACCTGCCATGGGTACCTGAAAACTGTGCATACTAGCAAACCCTGTATTTTTTTTTTTTTTTATCACACTGGCCGATTCCCACCAAGGCAGGGTGGCCTGAAAAAGAAAAACTTTCACCATCATTCACTCCATCACTGTCTTGCCAGAAGGGTGCTTTACACTACAGTTTTTAAACTGCAACATTAACACCCCTCCTTCAGAGTGCAGGCACTGTACTTCCCATCTCCATGACTCAAGTCCGGCCTGCCGGTTTCCCTAAACCCCCTTCATAAATGTTACTTTGCTCACACTCCAACAGCACGTCAAGTATTAAAAACCATTTGTCTCCATTCACTCCTATCAAACACGCTCACGCATGCCTGCTGGAAGTCCAAGCCCCTCGCACACAAAACCTCCTTTACCCCCTCCCTCCAACCTTTCCTAGGCCGACCCCTACCCCGCCTTCCTTCCACTACAGACTGATACACTCTTGAAGTCACTCTGTTTCGCTCCATTCTCTCTACATGTCCGAACCACCTCAACAACCCTTCCTCAGCCCTCTGGACAACAGTTTTGGTAATCCCGCACCTCCTCCTAACTTCCAAACTACAAATTCTCTGCATTATATTCACACCACACGTTGCCCTCAGACATGACATCTCCACTGCCTCCAGCCTTCTCCTTGCTGCAACATTCATCACCCATGCTTCACACTCATATAAGAGCGTTGGTAAAACTATACTCTCATACATTCCCCTCTTTGCCTCCAAGGACAAAGTTCTTTGTCTCCACAGACTCCTAAGTGCACCACTCACCCTTTTCCTCTCATCAATTCTATGATTCACCTCATCTTTCATAGACCCATCCGCTGACACATCCACTCCCAAATATCTGAATACATTCACCTCCTCCATACTCTCTCCCCCCAATCTGATATCCAATCTTTCATCACCTAATCTTTTTGTTATCCTCGTTACCTTACTCTTTCCTGTATTCACTTTTAATTTTCTTCTTTTGCACACCCTACCAAATTCATCCACCAATCTCTGCAACTTCTCTTCAGAATCTCCCAAGAGCACAGTGTCATCAGCAAAGAGCAACTGTGACAACTCCCACTTTATGTGTGATTCTTTATCTTTTAACTCCATGTCTCTTGCCAAGACCCTAGCATTTACTTCTCTTACAACCCCATCTATAAATATATTAAACAACCAAGGTGACATCACACATCTTTGTCTAAGGCCTACTTTTACTGGGAAATAATTTCCCTCTTCCCTACATACTCTAACTTGAGCCTTACTATCCTCATAAAAACTCTTCACTGCTTTCAGTAACCTACCTCCTACACCATACACCTGCAACATCTGCCACATTGCCCCCCTATCCACCCTGTCGTACGCTTTTTCCAAATCCATAAATGCCACAAAGACCTCTTTAGCCTTATCTAAATACTGTTCACTTATATGTTTCACTGTAAACACCTGGTCCACACTGTAAGGGAAAAGTAGGCATAAGTGGGGTTAAGGTTGTTCAGGCAACCAGGAACCATTAGCGAGTTACTTCGCGCACCCCCCCCCTCTGGCGGGCTGGGGCTAAACTAGTTCTTGGTGTCTGATTTGTTCAAATTTCTACTCCTGGTAATATTGACCTTACCTGGTGTGGGTTGAAGTTTGGAGAGTCACTTCACCTCCACTCTTCTCCTAATCAGGTAGGGTGATCTACTAGGAGTATTACTGTTTGTTCCTTTCTTTTGTTTGCTGGTTACCAGTAATGATTTTGGCATTTATCATTCTTTTCCATTCTTAAATGTTATATTATCATGACCATTGGTAACCAGTTATTTTTTCTTATTACCAGCTCTGTTCCTGGCGTGGTCATCCAGGATAGATGCCAGATAAAGGAGCAAGATATTTGTTAATGAGACTTATTAACATTATTGGACTACTACTGGCCCTTACCTGTTCTACTTGTGGTGCTCCATCCAAGTGGTAGGAGATTCCAAAACATCGGACTATCACCATCCGCCCAGGATAACCTACATCAATAATATCAGAAGATCTATCCAGGGCCTTACCTACTCCTGCCCAACTACAAGAACCAAAGGCCATTTTTTTTTATTATATTTAAATTTTAAGTAAAATCCTCAAAAATCATTATTCTTATTTTTCCTAGTCGTTTCTTTATTTATTTATTTTTCCATTAGTTTCTTTTGTTCAGATGGAAGGCGTTCCACTGACAATGGCGACCTTGCCAGGATCCGACTCTTGAAGCAACATCGTCCTGATGGTTCAACTGGTTGTGAGTATAACATTTAAGATAGAAAAGGGTGAGTTAGTTGAGGTGTCAAGTCATTACTGGTAGTCTGGTTGACTTACCGTTGTTTGGTTCTAAGGTTCGGTTTAGAAGTTTACCTATTTGTTGGACCTGGGGAACTTTGATGATAACCCCTCCTGTGTGAACCGTGTGTATTTTGCTTAGTGAAGGCTATTGGGCCCACAAGTGTATTCTTCCAGGGAGAAATATTTATTTCATTTTCTACTTTGGGAAGTTTAAAGTGTGCGGACTGTGTCCCTCTTTTGTAACAGACGTTCCTGTTAGTTTTAATTAAGACAGTTGAAGTTGGGTGCATAATATTTCTTTTTACAAGATGGATTCTTTAGATTTCTGGTTGAAAGCTGGAAAGGAAATGGGATTTACTGGACAAAGCCTTGATAATTACATTACTGCTAAAATGGCTATTGTAAAGAAAGAGGAACGGGAAAAAGAACAGGAAAGACTAGCTCAAGAAAAGAAAGAGGAACAGGAAAGACTAGCTCGGGAAGAGAAAAAGGAACAGGAAAGACTAGCTCGGGAAGAAAAAAGACTAGCTCGAGAAGAGAAAAAGGAACAGGAAAGACTACCTCAGGAAGAAAAAAGACTAGCTCGAGAAGAGAAAAAAGAACAGGAAAGACTAGCTCGGGAGGATAAACTCGAACAGGAAAGGATAGATAGAGAAGATAGAGTTCAGGCAAGAGAGGTAGCCGTCAAAATGAAAGAAATTGAAGAACAGGCTAAGCAGAGGGAGTTAGAACAATCAAGGTTGGAATTAGAAGCCAAGAAGATAGAACTATCTAAGCAGAAAATAGATGAAGGGGTACTAGAATACCCTTCCCAAGAACCTAATATTAGGATGCCACAAATGCCACCTCTCTCAGAACAAGATGACATAGCGGCATATATTACTCGATTCGAGAGTACTGCCACTCTCTGTGACTGGCCATCAGATTCTTGGGCTACTAGGCTTGGCTTACTACTGTCAGGTTCAGCATTAAATGTCTATTCCACTCTACCCTCTGATGTTATTTCTAGTTATAG